GGACAATGTGCTGGTGAAGGACTCTACTGTTTTTTGTTTCTGCTTTTGTGATTTATAAGTTGAATTTTAGGTTCTTAAAAATGAGCATTTGGTCTGGTAAACAAGCTAAATATTGATTTGGCCTTTAAGGAGTGGATAAGAAAACCAAGGGTTGTGATGCAAAGCATTCGTTCTACTTGTTGCTCTTGAAATCTGATTGTGCAAAAATGGAAGTCGATCACAGATTATAATGGAAAATATAATGTTATGTATAGAAATTGTCACATTTGCATAGTTGATGAAATAGAAGTTGATCAAGTGTCACTCTAACGCTTCAAATTGTTGATACTTGACAGAAAGCATGCTCGATATCTTTTGAAGTCATGCTTCAATCGAAACACGAGAGTTGATATTAAGTTTGAACAATTTCGAAATTTTTCAAAGCCATGGTTCAATCTAAACTTGAGAAGTTGATATTTAAGTTTGAAATTTTAATTCGTAACAATCTGTATTAATATACATTGAATAAGATATTTGTGTTGGAAGATGCTTGAGTTTATTTGAATAAATAAACCATTTTGTTGATAAATTGAAAATTAACTCATGAGTAGGTTGATAATCCAAATAGATACTTTTAGATAAATCCATTTTGTAAGAGTCATTCAAACCTTAACAAACAATTTTGCTGTGAAATCAATAGTTGGCTCCATAGTGAGCCTAACTTTCTATATACAATAAGTAAACCATACCATATTATTTGATTATTTTAATAATACTAATAATTTTATTAATATGATATGATTTACATGTTGTATATAGAAGGTTGACTCCACTATGAGCTAACTGTTAGTTTCACAGCAAAACTGACATAACAAAATGCTCATAGCAAATAGACCCAAGTCCATTAATATTTATTTATTTATGGTTTATTTGTATTTTTCACTCAAATAAACATCATCCTGTTAAAGGTCCAACATTTTCGATGCTGGGAAATGTGAATACAGTTTTGCTATGGAGCCATCGGATGACTCGGCTTATGGAGCCATCCACAATTATTCACTAATAGTGTATTGACACGTGTCCTGCATTAAATACACTTTGGACAGGTGTTAATACATTAAACGGTGAATGACTCCATAAAATTTTTGAGTGTGAACATGAGATATTCAATTTATACATAATTCTATTTATGCATATAATGAATTAATGCTGTCCATATAAATGATTTTGTGTATATAATATGTCCATATATCAACCTCATCATCATCATCATCATCATCATCATCATCATCATCATATACTCTCGCAAGAACTTTTATTTTACGCTTGCGTCTTTTCTTAAAAAACAATGTTAAATGAATAAAAAAAAACAATCAAAATAATTAATTAACTTTTATTTTACGCTTACACTTTTTCTAATGAAAAAAAAAATCAAATTCGGGCTTTTATTGAGTGCGAACAAGTCCACCGGTGCCACCTTTGTAAGACCGTCGTCGTCGTCATCAGCTGCTGCCGGCGTGAAGTGTGTTTCTCGTCTCACACCACCAAACCCCATCCAGTACGTCGGCGTCTCTTACTAAATCACTGCAGAAAAAGCCCGAGTTAGTCTTCATCCCGTAAACAGTCCTTTTCGCTTGGAACCCTAAGCCCTAAATCGCCACCCGCCCGCTTTGAGCTCCAGTCACCGCCACGCCGCTGCTTCGCCGGCGACCGGCGACCCCGAAAACCTCCGGCCATCTTCTGTGAGGTGAGTATTGCGATTAGGGGAGCTGTTATCATGTTGTTTTGTCGTGTGAGTTTATCAATTTGGTACAATTGCTAGTTGGGTTTGTCATTTGTGGTGTGTTTGCTGTTTGTGTTGTTTCTTCTTAGAGGAGAGGGGTTGGCTATTTGTGCTTTTGTCTCCTCTTGTTTCTTCTTATTGTTCTTTCTTTTCTTTTTTTTTTGTTTTGTTGAGATGAGTCTCATAGTTCGTGGGCTATTTTCAGAAAGTACAAGTAATCAAGATTGGAGGTGCAGAGGGCGAACGAGAACATGTGGTTGCGATTATTATGGGCGGTGGGTGCTTGGGCACATGAATTTCTCTACTTACGAGCTGAGCAGCAGCTCCATCTGTAAGCGATTTCCAGGTGCAAATCATGTTTATCATTGTTATTGTATCTTCCTTGGGGAAAATTTCGTGCAAACCATGTTTATCATTGTTATTGTATCTTCCTTGGGGAAAATTTCGTGTATGTATCTTTCTTTGTGACATTTCACTTGTAAATAAATGGTGTACAGACGTGAAAGAGAGAGATGGAGAATGGAGAAGGCAACTTAGAGAGCGAATTTGCAGCATTGAAGGTGACCGACTCTTACAATGCCAATGGCAGCGATGGATTGTTTCAGGTTATGAAAGCTGTTGAAGCTGCTGAGGCAACCATCAAACAGCAGGTATTTTTGTCTTTCTCTGGTATGTGCTACTGGTCCATGGTTTTGCTGGACTTGTAGTTGATAAGGAGCCGATTTTCATCTCTCTGACCTGATAACGTCTAGTAGGGACTTGAAAATGAATAACATGAAGATTAAATCCTCCCAATGCAAGTATGCAATCATCTCTATGAAGTTCTCTAAAGCAAAATTATGTTACAAAATCATAAGTGATATTTGAACTGATCTCTGCACTCAATGGTGTTATAAATTGCCATCCAGTTTTATGAACACCTTGAATGCCATTGTATTTTCATTTTCCTTTAGCACTATATAATTTTACACGATGAACTTGCTATTTGCATCCGTGAGCTTATTAATAATGCTCCTCTAATATATAACTTGCTCTTTGCATTCATGGGCATATTAACGGTGACTGTGAGTTGATCAATGCTATTTTTCTGTTTTGTGCCATACAGGTAGAAGAGAACAATCGATTGAGATCCGAAATTCTGAAAAAAGATGAGGAACTTGAAAAATATGTAAGAGTCCCTTCACTAGGTGTTTGATCCACTATTCCTTTTGTGTGACAATTGATGATAGGAGGGAGGGAGAGGGAGAGGGAGTGGGAGAGGGAGGCAGAAGATCCATAGTCATACTTGTGTGTCTTCAGCTTTCAATTGGATCCACATACAGCCTCATACATTAATCCTAATATCCGATCACGAGGAAGGACATATTTATCATTTATCCAGAAGTTGTGGATATGAATTATATACATGCCATGCGGAAAATCCCAATTCTATTTTGAAGTTCACATGACTTGTCCATTTTGGTTGATCCCTGAACCTTTTGCCGTCTCCACTGATGGAATGTGGAAACCTAAATTATATATCCTTGCAGAAATCATCTCTTAGTGCTCATCTATGGTGTGTGCTGAGACTATCTCTGATGATGTCCATTTTCTTTATGTTCCAAGGATAGTTCTAGAATATTCTTCTGGCTTGTGTGATGTCCAATTGCCACTTTTCTCACATCAACACTTCAGCCTCAAGAAAGTGATGTGGAAAAGAGAAATAAAGCGTGAGATGTGCATAATATAGTGGAGACTGAGAGCAGCAACTATGATGGTAATAGAACAAAGTTTGTTGAACTAAAACAATGCCGACTGAGGGCTGTACGCATTGCTGTTGAAATTTTATATGAACTTCCTTTCTAAAGCTTCTTATTTATTCATTGGTGTTGACCTACTTGATCATATAATTACAGATATTTATGGTGCGTAATTTTAGGCAGACTCTCATCTCAAAGAATGGTTACTATTATTTTTTGTTGCAGAAATCAGGTGATGTCAAATATCAAACATCTCAGTATGCTGATAGATGGGGTGGCCATGAGCTGTGTCGAACTGATCAAGTAATTTTAAAGATGGGAAATCAAATAGGTAATGAGGGAACTGTGGGAATCACTTCTGAACATGATTCGCCAAATTCCCATACACTTGAATCAGATGTGATCCGAAGTAATAAGAATCATGCAATGGAAACTCGTATAGAAAACCAAACTGATGGCAATGCATTCAATGGATCATTGAGCTCGACTCTTGGAGCATCAGATAATTCTGGAGTCTCACAGATTCCGTCACCATCTATCACATTGTTTACGCCTACAAGGTATGTTATATGAATAGAGCGGGTGGAAATAATTAGTCTGAAAACTGCTGGTTGTCTTATATGTAATTTTTCTTTCTCTGCTTTGACAGGTACCCGCAGCAAAGCAATTTGGATTCGGAGTTTGGATATTCGGGGAAGGATTTGATTTCAATGGCTGACAGTGGTTCGAAGCAGGTAATATAGAATGACAATGAATTGTCATTTGGTTTTGCCTTGACAAGAGAAAGGTTTACGATGATCTTTATTTTTTTAAAAGTTAAATTGCACTAGAAGTCATTTGTCATCTATCCTCTAGTATCTTTTGTGTGAATGCATCTGGGTAGGATATTGTTGCAAGGATTCGAGACCATGAAGAGGAGATTCAACAGTTGAAAAGGCATCTTGCTGAATACTCAATAAAGGTAGAATGGGAAGACTCTCTTTTGGTGACTGGACTTGTATCTATGCTTATATGTTCCCACTTACTTTGTATTTATTTCTTTTAGGAAGCTCAAATCAGCAATGAGAAATATGCCCTCGAGAAACGAATATCATACATGCGTCTGGTAGGCTAAAGAACCTTATGTGGATTTTTTTTGTGTCTTGTGAATACTGATGAAGTTCCTGGGTAATTTTGTTCAAAGGCATTTGATCAGCAACAACAAGATCTCATTCTTGCTGCTTCAAAAGCAGTTTCCTACAGACAAGACATAATGGAGGAGAATGTCCGTCTAAAGTATGCATTACAGGTATTAAATCCTGTAACGACAGTCTCCTCATACATCATTTCTTAATGAATGACTGACACAGCAAGATCTAGTTGAATAATCAATCAGTAACGTCCTCTCCATTTTACATATGTTAGATAAATTAGTTATGAACATCCTTGGTTGTGGTTTTCAGGCTGCTCAACAAGAAAGAACAACATACGTAAGTTCTTTAATGCCCCTTCTTACGGAGTATTCTCTCCAGCCGCTTGCTGCCGATGCACAATCCATTGTCAGTAATGTTAAGGTCGATATGCAACATCCTTTCAGTTGTTTCTTGTGATTATTATGGATAACATTGCCTTTTAGCACTATAAACAGTTAAGATGAATTATCAACTCCATTTGATAAGGTGAAACTGCATGGAGGTGGTCATTTTAAGAATTAGAATCTTAAAATGACTGGGATAGAGGATTAGAATCTTTAAGAATCAGTTTGAATTTTAAGAATTTTGCAGTAGGTGGTCATTTCTGTTAATGGGTTTAACCGTGTGCTCGGATTTGCTAACTTCTTTATTAGCAAGTCAGCCATTGTCATCGCAGGCATGCTGTCTCTTTCGTGATGCCTTGAATAAAATGACTATTATATGGTTTGAATATTTAAATTTGTACAGTGAATTACGCCGTTGTTAGAGCTGAAGATGAATATATTGCTAACTGGTAGAGCAAGTTTTATGGGGTTTCCCACAATGGCCTTTTGGTTATATTTCTGCTGTTTTCGATATTGTAAAACTAAAGGCATCTCCATCGTTTCATTTTTCTGCCATTTAAATGTAATAAACTTCCATTCAGCCAATGTATATCATCCGTTTGATGACAAAATAAATGGGCTCCACATTTGCCATTTACTCAATTGAATGGCATTAAACACAAAAATGTGGGGTCAAAATAATTTAAAAATATCATGGCTCTCAGGTTACCTCTTTCATTTAGTTTTTATATTTTAATTTTTTAGTTGATCCCGCAACATTTACATGAATGAAAAATGTGGAAGAGTATTAAATGGAGAGATGTTTAATATGTGGATGATAACGTGAGTAGTTTGTGATTAAATGAATGGGTATGGATGTGGATGCCCTAACGTGAAGTGCCACTTTAGTAAAAACAATTCTTTTATTTTCCTTTGAATTATAAATGGCTCTCGGAGTTTTTAAATGTATGTGCTGGCTGCGTTTCTTTTATCCTTTATGTCGCTTAAAGAGTCGAACCTACTCATAAGGGTATCGTAAGCCCAAATTTGATACTCGATATTTTATTCTTGACTTCGTTATTATCTATAGTTTTTTTGATGTGAAGAGGGATTGTCATGACTATGTAATTATACCAGAGTTCTGCAATTGCAGGTTTTGTTTAGACATTTACAGGAGCAGCTTCTTGTGACTGAGGTATGTATGTTATTGAGGTGAACAAATATTCAAAATGTAATTATTTGCGGATGTACATCCAGGCGGCCATACTTGACGAGTTGATGTTGCTTGTGGCATGCCTCTATGTTGTGCCAACGTCTGTCATATCACCATTTTGCCTATTGCTTGTAGGGAAAACTCAAAGAATCACAGTACCAGCTAGCACCCTGGCGTTCTGATGCGAATCTCTCCAACTTTCCTCAGTCTCCAATCTATCCTATTGAGGTATGGTCGACATGCTAGTCAATTCTATAGACTAATGATATCATATTTGTTGCTTTGAATTTTGCATGAATGTCAATTTATTATAAGAATTTTAAAAATAGTTGAGTTGTCCCTTGAGGCTTTAGATGGCTGCATAATGCTATTAACAGAATAAATGCAATTCCTTATACATATAAAGTGTGCTATTGACATCTTACTAACGTCAGAAGTAGAGAATCTTTAGTGAAACCACTCAAGATGTGTAGCAAATAACGTTTTCAAGCACATCTTCATTTAGAGGCTAGAATGAAAGGTATGGGACCATGAAGTGTTAGGGAAGGATATAACCTGTTTTCCTGTGAACTAAGTTCGTGAGATGCACTGTGCAGTTGTCATATAGGTACTGAATTATATTGAATATGGGGTTTAAGCGCCTGATTGGATATGTAGATCCGGTTTTGACTAACCAAATAATTTTTGTAACTCAAAGTCCAACTCAATTCTCCTTGTCGTCCTCGATATTATTAATTCAATTAAATAATACCAATCAATCATCCCCACAAATCACATCAACTTTAATTAACTATACTTACACTCACATAATTTTAACTACCCATCACTTCTAAACACCTTTCTCCTACTTTTACACCACATCAACTTTAATTATTATATTTTAAATATTATTTAAGTACAAACTCAAAATCCCACTCAAACCAAACATAATCAACTTTTTTCAAAATTAACTCACTTAATCCAACAAATCCAATCAAATGCAAAATAACTTCTATCCAATTTGACCCTAAGCAATTATGACTATGAATGTGCATTAAATTTAGAAGGTGGGCTGAATGTTGATGTAGCAGGGTCTTAATATGTCTTGTTATTATCATTTTCTTCAGTTCGTGTCCTTTGAGTTTTATGTACCCTTAAGCTTTTATTTGTTACACTTCAGGGTTTAGTTTAGTACAGATGGGGATTGTTTTCATCTTTTGCATTTTTTTTTTCTATTCCTATACTACGGATTTCTCTTTTTGTTTTGGTGGCTTTGAGTTCAGGTTCAAGCTTTCATGGTGTTGCTAACAAATCTTAAGTCTTAACTTGTCCAAAGTGTTGGGTGCTAAATAGTATATTCTCTTTCTAAGTTCTCAAATAGTAGTTGATAACTTGATATCTCAAGCTCTTCAGTTGCCTGCCAGATCAAAGATGGGCTGGAACTGGTTTCACAACCGACATATTCTGATGGAAATATGCCATCTTTGGATCCCCAGACAGCAATGGCTGGAGATATGGTGGGTCTTCCACAAAGTGGATTGGAAAATTTGAAGAATTCGGAACACGGCGAATTGGGGAGGCATCCACCTTTTGCAAGCAGGTGAGCTGGTAAATGGACCTTGTTTACACTGAACTGCATGTGCAATTCGATCCTCTGTTTTTGGTGGTGGGTGGGTTATGGTTTAAAATTTGGAATTTCCTATTTGTTTTCTAGTGTGATCAATTCAAGATACAACAAACTTCTCAACTAAATGAATGTTGCATTTATTTTATGTTGTATGATTAAAGAAACTTCTGAATTTCAATCTTAAATTCCTACAATCAAGGATAAATCTATGCGAGATGTCGACCAGTGGCGATCATTTAGCTTGGTTTATCTAATTTGCAGCACCTTATGTCGCTCCAAGAGACAATGTTGAAGATGAACACTTGTTCTTGACTAGCTTAGATTTCTCCGGAACACTGTGGGAGAACTTTGGTTAATTCTCCTTCATAATGCATATTTTGTGGTCAGGAATACATATGTAAGAGGTTATGAGATTGTACACTGGCATGCATTTTTGTGTTACTCAAAACACATAAACATTTGGAGAGCTGAAACTCTCTATTGGGCAATTCTATTATAGTATTTTATTGTCTTCTGTTTCAGTCGTATGCTTATTTAGAAAATATTACTTACAGTTTAGTGCTTTAAATTCATTTTGACTTCTCAGAAGTCTTACACGTTAAACTCTTGAAAGCATGTGTACTCAATGGCGTCGTACAGAACACTTTTCCTGTCTGATGCAACTCATTGGGCTTGACCTTTAAGGGGTCGTCGAGTGATTGACTAATGTATTTATGTAACTTACTATTTTTATTTTTTTTGGGTCCACTTTCTGTTAGTCAAAGTCCATCAGAGCTTTCATTCAACCAGACTGATCCACATCATGTTCGGAATAACGAAGGTGCAGTCGGTAAAAAAGTCACATTCGGTGACTTTGTTAAGAATACTGAGATTGATGAACCTGACAACAGAGGACCCATGAATGATACAGAACCTTCTGTTAACTGGAATTCCAAAGCATCAGCAACGACGACTGTTGATGATCCCGAGTCCTCATTTTCTCCTCTTCTACCACCAGTTCTTGAGGAACCCTCGTCTTCCTTCTCTGAGGGTCTGAATTTAAAATCTTTTTTTTTTTTTTTACTGCTTAGTCTGGTTTGGTAACCAAAAATTTTAAATTTGCAATCAATTACCAGCTGCAGAGGATGATCCACTACCAGGAATTGAGGGTCTCCAAATTTCAGGGGAAGCATTTCCTGGTCAGCAACTCCAAGCATGTGGATATTCAATAAATGGGACAACCAGTTGCAATTTTGAGGTGCTTCAACTGTCCATTTTTATAAATTCACCCGTATTACTTCCTGATCTACAGTGGTTTATTTCTATACACATGTTATTTCCTGTTTCTGTTTTAGCTTATATTTTTTCTGAGTTTGCAGTGGGTACGACACTTGGAGGATGGATCTTTTAACTATGTTGAAGGTATCCATTTAACTGCTGATTTTGGTTACCACTTCATTTATATCTATTTATGCTTTTGTTTAAATGTGACATTATTATTTTACAGGAGCGAAGCAGCCAAATTATCTTGTAACTGCAGATGATGTTGATACATACCTTGCCATTGAAGTACAGCCGCTTGATGATAGGAAGCGTAAGGTATTATCTGTATGTAAGAGTTAGCTGGAAAATGATTTAATTTTTTCCTCAATGTCGTATATGATTCTGCAAACCCTGTATAATGAGTTGCTTGCTGCCAGGTCCTGACTATTTTTTATTATTATTTTTATTTTTATTTCAGGGTGAACTTGTGAAAGTCTTCGCCAATGAGCATAGAAAAATTACTTGCGGTAATAGGAACTTTGATAATTGTTATTGATATACTTTGATCTCTTCAGTTGAGGTTTAAATATGGCAAGGTTTTAGTCTTTATTTATCTTTGTAAATGTCTGCTATTGCTGAAACTGAGATTACACCCACCACCCTGTAAGGACAAAAGGAAAGGAAAAGTTTCTGATATTGTCCAAATAATTGAAAAACTGAAACAAAAAGGATAATGTGTCTTGGAAATATTGCCTTAACCTTTCCAATTCACTCAGTATTCGTTTCTGGTTAGTTGATGCAAAGCTGATCACTGAATTATTTGATGATACTTTCATCTGTTCTACAGATCCGGTAATGCATAAATGCATAGAGAAGACTCTTTACACTGGTCATGTTTCTTTCAAGCTCTCTCTTTCGGTATGCTTATTGATCTGTTTTACTATAAGCTATTATTTGTTTGTTTGTTTCCTTTTTTTCTTTTGTGGGTATAGAATTACAAACCTCTTCCTCTTCCACAAGATTTGTTGTAGACCCAAAAACTCATCAAAATTTTTTGAATCACAGTTAGGTTCTCCCAACTAAAAGCAGAGGAAGTTCATACACTTGTTCATACCTCATTTTGGCATTGTGTCAAGTTTTGAAATAGAAAGCAATAACAAACATTGAGCACAAGAGTTACTGAATATAAAGTATATAAATATAAAATCAAACGGATTTATTTTAAAGCATAACATTTCTCCTCCGCATAATGTCCTATATCCTATCCCCTTGAGCATTCATCCCTTTGCTGGTAATCTGCAAATAGTTGGTATTTTTTCAGTTAATATATTTGAGGGTAGGGGTGGGTTTTGGTGGGGGGTTTGGTGGTGTAGTGGGTCGGTCGTAGTTTCTTTGTTTCTATCTTCCAACTTGGCATTCAATTGCTGAAGCATTTCTCAGCTTTTTATAAACTGTTTATTTTGTATTTGCTTCCTTCTTTCATCATGAAGACCGGATATCTTGATATATGGGAGCCGGCTGTATTGGCAATTAAAAGGGATGGTTACAGCATAAAGTGTAGCGGGCCTAGTGGTGTTGTAGTTTCTGAGAAGTTTTCGCCATCTACAACTGTATGTATCTTTTATCTAAGTTTGACTTGTCATGCTATGTCTTCAATTCACGCGCTTCTCAAAGAAGCTCTGCAAGAAAGTAACCATCTTTAGCAAAGTCTTGTGCAATATTAACTAGAAAGTTGTTCCGATAAGAAACTGGAGATAGAAAATTGAAATCACTTGACTGGCTTGTGGGCAATATTACAATGTAAAACACAGTAAGTTTGCTTTCGTATGAAAATAATAATGATCTTGTGGATTGTTACTAACAGCATTTCTATCCGTGGCTCGTGAAATCCCAGATACTTTACTTTTGCTTCTAGNTTTTTTTTTTTTTTTGAATAAATGAATTACCGTAGAAGATGTTTCTTGTAGGTCTCTATTCCATACGGAAGTCCTGATGAATTCTCAATAGTTGATTCTCTGGGTACTGAACGCATTTTGAGAGTGGACAGTAGCTTGACGGATATAAGTGGGTAAGTTGCAATCATTTCTTTCTTTCTACCTACTCACTCTTTCAATCTGAGGTAAGACATCAACGTGATGCCTTTCTATAACTACAATCAGTGGACTTTGTCAAATTTTTCTAAGTGTCATCGATGTTACTAGTTATTGCTAGAGGAAGATTTTATGTTGCACACGATTCTTATTCCTTCCTCATCCTTTTCTTTTGACTTCGCAGCTCAAGAGATACAATTGTTCTCACCTTGAGATTATTCATCTTGAAGGTATCAAGTCTTACTCAGTTTTTGTTCCGCCAGAAAGCATATTAAATCGATAGCTTGCTATGAATAATTTATAATTTGTTTAGCAAGTGAATAAGTGATTTAAGAACTTGCTGAAATTATATTGTTAAACCGCTACAATGCTCAGTATCTTGGTCCTTGTTGTCTTTGTCGATGCACATACCTTTAATTTCCAAAAAAATAAAATCGATTATTTAGTGAAAAATCTCTTTTGGAGTGTAAATATCAATTTTACGATGAATAATTGTGCAGGCCGGTGAAAAGAAGAGGAAGAAGAGAAGCTTGTTCTTTAACAAGTGAGCAGCCGATTCTCGGCATGCCCACTTCTTCTTCGACTTTGACCTCTATGATCTTTTGATTTTGACCGCACGTTATTATGTACTTTGCCGTGGCAGTAACTTCCTAGATTTTCATATGGATTATCAGTAGCAGTTAGGTATTTATTGCCTTGTATAGAATTCAGTTTTTGATTTTATACAGTGGATTTGCTCCTTGTGTTTTGGCATAAAATTCTCCCTTTAATGCATGAAAATATGGGTTCAGTACAGCACACATCCAATGGAGAACATATATCCAAAGATTCTTACTTTTAAAATATTTATTTATGGCAAAATGCATGATGGAAAACATTTTATTGACAAAAATCAAATAAATGAAATTATCATTTATTTTTTAATATATAGTTAGGATTTTAATTTTAGTAGACTTTTTAAGGATTTCTCCCGGTTTTTTATTTGATTTTAGTTTTTACGAATTCATATTTTTTTTTATTTATTTACATATTTTAACATGTGATTTCTAACTGAAAGTGTGGACAGTGGACCATCTCAAGTGTTCATTTTTATTTATTTATATATTTTAACATTTGATGTGTTTCTAACTGAAAGTGTGGACCATCTCAACTCTTTCACCCGTGGTACAAAATCATTATATTATTATAAACAAACCCAGTTACAATTTCAAAAACATCAGTTGGGGTCCTTGGGGTGAAAGAAAATAGAAAATCATGAAATAAATTAATATTTAAAAAAAGCAGGCTTATTACCGCACCAGATGGCAGCACCAAGGCTGACGTGTCAGTATGGCTTTTGATCTGTTGACCAGTTAAAAAATATTCGAGACCACAACGTTGGTTCATTTTTTTTCTGATAAAGTATTTGTTGGGAAAGAAAATAGATAAATGAAAATAGAAAAGGAAAATAAAAGATAGAAACAAAAAAAAAAAAGTTCTAAAAACTTCTTTTTGTAAGAAGACGATGGCATAAGATTTCCACTACAACAACCTGATTGCCCTGCAGCTTTCTATTTTTCACTTTTGTTTCTAATATTTTTTTTGCAATTTTTTTTTTTTACTTCCATTTTTTCCTAAATTTTAAAACAATATGACTGCTAAGCAGACCAAACATTAGATTAGACAGTTGTATAATATCGTTTTAAATTTAACTGTCATATTACATTAGACCGTACACTATAATTTTTAAATTTTATTGTCATTCTAAAAAACAACATAAATAAAATATGACACTTATATAAATATGTAGTTATTAAAAAAGAGTGACAGGTAGTTTAAAGAAGAAATCTCTGATTAAAAACTATTATAACACATAGAAAGATCTATATTTCGTTTAACGAACTCCAATTTCCAACTCACCTTTCCATTTTTAAATGCTGCAAAGCATTTCACAAAGTCAATAAACTTACATTTATTTGATTCATTTCACACAAGATCAACATTTTGATTGACTCAATTGTAACATATAAAATCGAAACATTACTTTTTAAATCTAAAAATGCAATTTTTTCAGTCAACAAGTATCCAAATTCTATCTTGAACGAGACTTAATACGTATTAATATTAGCCATGCTCGTCATTGTTGCAAAACAACTACTTCTTTCCTTATTTTCAATTGCGTCCAACATTTTTCTCCAAAAATTGTCTTCCTAAAAGAGAATTAGGGTGTGATTGTTGATAAATATATTAGTACTAGTACAATACACGTGTATTGCACGGATGTTTGTGAAGAAATTTATATTTAAAATTAAAATTAAAAAAAGTTTAATTTTCAAATAATTTTTTTAAACTATATTTTATTTTAAAATGACACCCGTCGTTCATATGTCTTAAACATTTTATATTTTAATAATTTTTTAACTTATATAATATAACTAATTTGTAGTTAAATTAATTTAAATATTTTTTTCAATTAATATTAAGAAATAATTTAATTGTTATTATAAAGTTAAATATAATTATTTTTTTTATGTACAATACAGATGGAAAATATCATCAAGATATGATTCATTTGATATATTATATATAAAAAATGGATAATAAATAAAGTTATTAGATTTTATATATATTTATGAATTATGTTAGTAAATTTTTTATAATTATAAAATAAAGATGAAGAAAAAAGAAAGATTGAAGAAAACCATATTTAAAATGAACCTGTCGCATATACAGCCTAACATCTTATATTTTAATATATTTTTAACTTATATGATATGACTAATTTGTAGTTAAATTAATTTAAATAATTTTTTTTTCCAATTAGTATTATATATAATTTAATTTTTGTTATAAAGCTAAATATAATTATTATTTATTTTAATGTACAATACAGATGTAAAATCTAATATCATCAAGATATGATTAATTTGATATATTATATATAAAAAATTGATAATAAATAAAAAAGTTATTAGCTTTAAAATATATTTATAATTTATGTTAGTAATTTTCTTTTAATTAGAAAAGAAAGATGAAGAAAATAGAAAGATTGGAGAAAAAAATTATTCCTTATAAACTACGTCCAGAAATAGGAAATAATGTTATAATATAATTAATCCTCTTAAAAATGATAATAAATATCCAGTATATATATGAATATTCCAAGCCTAGTTATTTTTGGACTGAAAATAAATTAAAATTCATCCATGTCAAATGACGAACCATGAAAATTTCCCACATAGAATTTCAAAGCGTGCGAGTCTGCCACTTTGGCTCAGCGCATTTGGAAATTATATATAGACGGATTTGATGTCTTTTCTTTTGTTATTTAGGGTTAATTTTGTAAAAGTAAGTATGATTAGTATTTGGTGGGATTTTAAGTTTATATTAAATATTATTTAAAATAAAATAATTAAAAATTGATTTGATGTACAAGTAGGGGATACATGATTGAAAGTGATAAATATTTAAAATTATGTGACTAAATGAGTAGTGAATTAAAGATAATTTGATTACAAGGACGATTGATTGATATTATATTGATAATATTGACTACAGTGAGGTTGAGTTAAATTTTAAGTTAGATATTGATTTTTTTTTATTTTTTTTTGAGTTATTTTGTAAACAAACAAACCCTTAATTATCTCTCATATAAGAGTTGTAACCCAGCAAACTCCGAAAACTAAAAAATAAATTAGATCCAATTCAAACTCAACTCATTTATCAGTATTAATAAATTGAATTGTAAGAAATTTACAAAAAAAAATTATTTTAGAGCATTAACGATATCGACTCATTAATCACAAAAAGTTTTAATGGACTCCAACTCAGCTAATTTACAATAAAAAGATATATTACATTTAAATAATATTAAATAAGAAATTCGAACAAAAAAATAAAATAAAATAAAAACATGCACACATCTATATAACTTACACACACTCACACACAGCTTCTTCCTCGTGAGTGCTTTCTGAATATACAACGCAATAAACACTTCCATTATTGTTATCATTATTATTTATAGAGTTATTTCATTCAACAACTTTTTATTCAGAAGTATCGAGAGCAAGGATAATGATGATGTGGGAAGCCGGCGAAACGATGGAGTCGGCCGGCGGCGCCGCGGCGGGGCGGAGGAAGCCGTCGTTGCGTGAGAGAGAGAACAATCGGAGGAGAGAGAGGCGGAGGAGGGCGATTGCGGCGAAGATTTACGCAGGGCTTAGGGCGCAGGGGAATTACAATCTCCCAAAACACTGCGACAATAACGAGGTGCTCAAAGCCCTCTGTGTGGAGGCCGGCTGGACGGTCGAGCCCGACGGCACCACTTATCGGAAGGTGAATATTCGAATTTGGGGATTTTTTTTGCTCAAGCAATTTTTTAATTACTTATTAATTTGGGATTTGCTTTGCTGTTAGCCGTGGGGATCTTTGAAGCACAGTTGGGTTTATTTGTTTGATTTTTTTTTTATATTTTTTTTTAAATTTTTTGATGTTGTTTGGATCTGTGTGTTTAGTGGAGGAATTTCTCTAATTTGGAATTTATGATCGTCTTCTTCTCTTGACGAGATTATTCTGGTTCTTTTTTTTCTGTATGGGGAAAGCNTTATGAATTCTGTTATTTTTGTACCAATATTTCTCTTATTTAGGATGATTTTCAACAAGGGAATGTTTTGCATACAAAAAAGCTATTATCACTATCAGCTTCAATCTACTTTTTAACAGCTTGAAGTTTTCCTGCCTCTGAGATAATAGGAGAGCTTTTATTTTTATGAGATCTTCCCCTCTTCAATTGAACCCATCAATTTTGGATAATATAATAATAACCTTCTGATTATATCATGTATAGCTTCACTTAAGGACTCATTTACAAATTCTTCAAAAACAACAAAGTTACATTACCCCTTCCAATTGTGGTACAAAAATTGGCAGCTGATTGAAACTGAGAGGAAATCCAGCTGATTGAATCATCTTTTCAATCTAGCATTCATCTACCTCCTGACAGAATTACTCTCAATTTCAAGTGTTTTCAATGAATGTAAAAATTGCAATATGTTTTGACAAAATACAGGGATGCAAGCCCCCCATCTCAATGGACATCGGAGGCTCCTCCTCAATAAACCCGAGCCCACCATCCTCCTACTTTGCAAGCCCAATCCCTTCCTACCAGCCCAGCCCAAACTCATCCTCCTTCCCAAGCCCGACCCGCCACGACCCGGCCCACAACCCGCTCCCTTTCCTCCGTATATCAAACAGTGCTCCAGTCACTCCTCCCCTCTCCTCCCCAACCCGAAAGCCCCCACCTTTCAGCCTCGAAGCCCTCGCCAGGCATTCCATGTCGGCCCTAAACATCCCCTTTTTTGCAGCAGCCTCGGAGCCCGCAAGCCCGGGCAGAGGGCTAAGATTCGGGCCCTCGGCCACAATACCCGAGTGCGACGAGTCGGACGTGGAATCGGGCCGTTGGATCAGCTTTCGGGCCCAAACGGGTGTCGGGATTCCACCTAGGAGCCCGACTTTTAATCTTGTGAAGGAGGATTTGATGGTGGTGGATAAGGTGAAGCCGTGGGAAGGGGAGAGGATTCATGAGGTGGGGATGGACGAGCTCGAGCTCACACTCGGGAGTGGGGCAAGTGCTCGTTGACCGAATGTTAGTTCGATTTTCAAGGGTTTTGGGTTAAGGATAAGAATTTGGCCTTCACATTAAATGTTAGATCTTTTGTGTTACTGTTCTTGGGTTGAGGGTATGGAATTGAGGATGATAAGACTTTGGGCCTTCAGTTCACATAAATGTTAGATCATTTTGTGTTACGGTTTTTGGTTTTTTGGGGGTTTCTTGTTGGATCCCTG